GTCTAGAACCTGAACTGCAATCAATGTGGGAGCCCAGCAACGTTAACCATGACACCAGCTGCTGGTCCCTAGATCCAATTTTGTATTTCTTTTAGAGTTTGGGACCAGCAGATGGCATAATGGTTACATCTCTGCACTCCCATGTAGTTGAATGCTGTTCGAGTCCCTGACCTGGTGGCTTAAACTTGCACCAGACATGAGTGCGTGTGTGCCCAAGACCTGAGAGAAGGGACTGTGGCATGGTCATCCTTCCTGAGGGCTGATTCCTCACTTTCTGTCTCTCTTTGTCTTTCTGGCAAGTGAACATGCCCTACAGCAAAAATCTCTCTTTAAAAAAATATTTTTAGATTTTTTTTTTTTTGCCTTAGGCAAAAAAAAATACTTGCAGAGAAAGAGAAAGTGACAAATCACCTCCTTGGGAGTATGGCCATGCAACAATCCCTTCTCCTCCATTTTCCTCCCAGGATCTTAGACACACAAGTACACACACCTATCATGAGTTTCAAGCCACTAGATCTGGAACTCGAACCACAGTCGGCCATATGGGAGTCCAACAACATAGCCACTGCTGGTCCCTATGTTTATTTCAAAGAACATAGTCAATTATTTCAATCACTGAATCTAGACCAGTGGATCTGAATCTTTTTCGGTCACATTTGATAATATCATTAAATTATAGACTTCTTCCCTAGAAAAACAGCATAGTAACAGTTAATTACAGGGGCCAGCAGGTGGTATGGTGGTTGAGGGTGCTGGACTCTCACATGGCTTACCATGGTTCGAGTCCCAGACTGGAGCTTGCTTTCTCATTTTCTCTCTCTGGTCAAATTTAAATAAGTAAATAAAATAAGGTTCAATAAAATAATCCTTTTTAAAAAAACAAACAGATAATTACAAAAGTTTTAGGTACAATTTCAAGGGTGTCTGGTCCCCTAGAAGCCCCAAAGTACTCAGATTATCTTGAGCACTAAGAATTGCTATTCTAAACTATCTGAGCATCAAGGTGTTTTGCTTTGTTTTGTTTTAACTAGGAAATTCTCATTACAATTAGCTTGGTATTTTCATTTTTTCCCATCTGTAGAAGCCTGATGGAGAATTGCCCCAAATTACTACATAACAACAAATAGCTACTTCTTTAAGTACTTAAGAAAAAACAGTAACTGTTCTAGGAGCTTCACGCAGTTATAGAAGAAGCTCACTAAAGTAATAGAAAGCATCCGCCAAATGGCTATGTGCATGCAGGCACCAAGGGAAGGGCCTAGGTATCAGCTGAATGGACAGGACATTAACGAGGAAGGAAGCAAATGTTCCCATTTTCCCAAAAATAAAAATGCATTTCACAAAACAAATTCCCATTTGTGTTGACCTTAACTTTTAAGTGAGCAACAGCAACTCATTCTTCCTCCTCCTTTAGAGACCGTTTTAAGATTTATTTTTATTTATTGTTATTATCTAATTTGCTACAGGGTATGCATGCTCACCAGAGAGAGAGAGAAAGAGAGAGATAGGAAGAGAGAAAGCCACCAGGTCTGGGACCTGAACCATGGTCAGCCACATGGGAGTCCAGTGCCTTCACCATCATACCACCCACTGGCCCCTAGAGCTCTTAAGAGTTTGGCAGGACCAGGGAAAAAGGAAGTCTTAACACAATAGGCCTTTCCTGAAGTCCAGCCTAAATGGTTACATGAGGGCAACACTTGGGCTAGCAGGTGGTGTGATGGTTCCAATGCTGGACTCCCATGTGCCCACCCAGGGTTCAAGTCTTGGTTCTGGTCAGCTTGATTTTTCACTTTCTCTCTCTCTTTGTTCAAATAATAAATAAAATTAAATAATTATCTTAAATGAATAAATGTCTCCGCCAAACACTACCCACACACATACTCAGAGAAAGTTAAGAGAGAGAGTACTGTTGACCCATCCGAATATCAAGAAAAGCCAGGGTCATGGATGCCTAGGGCTGGAATCTGAGTTTATACCAGCTCCCTGGAGGGGACTCCGTGGTTCTGAAACCTGCATTGGACCCCTCAGCTGTGAGTAATACTTCTCAGCCCCTGAGAAGTAAAAAAAAAAATGTATAGTTTTAGTCTTAAACATAATATTTACCAGGTTAAAAAAAAAAAAAAATATATATATATATATATGCCCTAGAATCCTAGTAATGTACACAATAAAATGAACTGGTGCTTTCTTTCCCTCCTAATTGTTACTATTTATACACTATGATTATGGTCCTTTAATAACCACATTGTGATAGCCTTACCTGTTGAATTTTTGGAAGACTGTCTCACGTAGTATATAAAGATAAAAAAAATACAAGTGTCCTAAGCGTTCTTTGTCAGAGTTCTTTACCCAGAGCAGACCAAAGATCACATCTAGCTCCCACCCCTGCTGGAGACTGCTGGAAACCAAAAAAACCACCACCATTCATCCAAGATGACATCATAAAAAACTTTTCTGGAAAAGCCCCTGGCGTGATTCCTAGCCCCAAACCCTCACGCTGTCACGTTGCTGACTTGTGTTTAAAAGCCCTACGACCCACAGAGGGTACTTTAAGAATCTTGGATTTTACAGTTCCAGTTGATTTCTTCCCATTAAAACCTTCCTCCCTTCTGTTGTCTCAAAAATTGGCTTACCCTGCAGCCACAAGCAGACCCTGTCTGTACACTGGCCTGGTAACATGCGTGTGAGCGTTTCTGCGCTCGTATCTGCGCTCGCCTGGAATGTGGTGCCGGGGAGGTCTCCTCGTTGCAAGCCTGGGGAGCTTCTAACATTCTAAGATCAGGGCTCCCCGCTTTTTGCTAGGGGTCTTGTCTAGCGCTTAGTATCTGAGTGGGGGCCAGTTCTCTGCGGTTGGGCACCCGAGGCTAGAGGCAGAAGATGCTGGGGTCAGATGCACACACTCCCCGCCCACGGCAACCTTGGCTCACACCCAGTTGAGTCGCACACACGCCATCACGTACCGGTGCCGGCCTCACAACCGCACAGTTCCGACGTTACAGTCCGACGCCGTCGCGATCACACACACACGCTCTCTCTCTCTCTCTTACGACCACCGCCTTTCTCGCACACTCCCGGGCCTGGGGCGCCTGCTGGAGTGCCTTCCATTCCCTCCTTACCCCCGGGGCGGCAGCGCCTTTCTATGGATGGCCAGGACCGCTGACTCGCCGCCAGGGACCTGTCTCGCGGCGACGCCGGGCGGAAGCGAAGGAGATGCGGGCGGAGACAGTCCACGTCCCCGGGGCCTACCCCGCCGCGCTCCGCGGTGGCTGGGAGGGCCGGCTGCGCGCCCCGCGCGCGCCGACGCAGTCAGCGGG